GCGGTGGTGGCGGTGGCCGAGCGGGAGGCCGACCACGCCCACCCGGCCCTCACGAGGCGTGTCGCGGAGGCGGCCGCGCACTACGCGGCGCTGTTCGACTCGCTGGAGGCGACGCTGCCGCCGGGGAGCGGAGAGCGGCTGGCGGTCGAGCGCGTTTGGCTGGGCCGGGAGATCGCTGACGTGGTGGCGGGGAGGGTGAGGCACGAGAGGTTCGGGTCGTGGGAAGGGCTGATGGCGGGGTCGGGCTTCGCCAGCGTGCCACTCAGTGGCTTCGCGCTCTCGCAAGCCAAGCTGCTGCTCAGACTACATTACCCTTCACAAGGCTATCAGCTGAGGGTCTCTAATGGATCATTCTTCCTCGGATGGCAGAATCAGCCGCTTTTCTCGGTCTCTGCTTGGCGCGCTAATTGATTAATTAATTAATTAATTAATTAGTCACTGTTTGGTAAACTTAAAACCCTAACCCTAAAATTTTACTTCCTGCATGGAACATTTTAGGACCAAATATTCTTCATCTGGATACATATGTTTTTGTTACATAATAATGCTTACTTTGTACTGCTATTTGTTTTGGTTTGATATTTATTGATTATGGGTATTAATTAATTAATTAATTAATAATCCAATTTAATAATAAGTTGTAAGTGCAATCTGACTGTGGCCGTGTTTAATTATTTCTCTTTATTTAATTTTTGAGGGAAAGATTCCATGTCTAATATAATGTTATCTTATCCGATAAATATCTATGTATTAGGCTCTTTTTGAGGAGGCAAATTAAGATTAATGGTGATGTGGTGCATTTAGATATACTGATGTGTGCTTTAAAGGGTGGGAATTAATGGGATATTCCTTGTTATATATAAAGTGGGGAAATGTTACGGTTTCGTTACGAAACTATTATGTTGGAATTTGTAACAGTTAGATCGTTAACTATTTACCTCTAATGATCTAATAATTATAAATTTTGACAGAATGGTTCCGTAACGGAAATCGTAGCATCTCTCAATAAAGTGTTTGATTGATGATCACCACTTAATTAATGTTTGGTGGTGAGGGCTATTTGTCATTATATACTGATGATGGGTTAGCTTTATATGAAATGTTTTTCATGTTTAATGCTAATAATAATGCTTCACTTTTTCGTTCGGCAATATTTTATCTCTACTATATATTGCTTTTCAAATCGTGCTTTAAACTATTTTTTAATTTTTTTTTTTTTTAAAAAAAAAGATAACGAAAATTAACTATACCTAGGTGATATATATATAGTTAGGTCACTCTGGCACCAAATTAATTAAATTCCTTTTTTTTTCTAGATTCGTAATATATATAGGTAAAATGTTATGGTTCGTTACGGAGTCATTTCGTTGGGGTTTGTAACTGTTGGATCATCATGTTACCGTCAGTGATAGTTAATTTAACGGTTACAAACTCTGACGGAATGGTTCCGTAACAGGATCGTAGCATCTCTTATATATATATACTTGCGAGGGTAGGGTTTCTTGTTTTGTGCGTACAAACGAAGTGAAGCCCCCCGTATATACCTGATCTCTTGTCTCGGATACTTTACACATTAATAGTTAATTTTTATTAATTGCCCCAAAAATCCTGTGTTTTGTCCCCTCAGCAAAACCATAAAAGTTGTCAAAATATGCTTCTCTCCTCAGCTACAATTGTTTTGCAACGGGGGATCTCTCCTCGTGTCTAGTGGTTTTCCAATAGGACCACCTTTTTTTATTTTATTTTATTTTATTTATTTATTTATTTCTTCTTTGTTCATTATACATATACATATATATATATATATATATATATATATATATTCTTGTTTGTTTGTGTACGCACACTTATTGTTATTACACAAACAACAAATTAATTCGTATCATGTTTTATCCTTTTTGCGTGTTGGTTAATGTTTTCGTGGAACTTGTAAAAACACCGTAACACTAACATGTAGTAGTAGTAGTTTTTTTATCTTAGTTCTGACAGAGAGCACTGCAGGTGTATTTTTTTTTTACAAACAAGAAAGTAGATAAAAAAAAAAAGTCCACCGATCCAAATAACCAATCCAAGTAAAAGGGAAAAAAAAAATGTATCCAAGTTTTTTCATTAAATTTATTTTTGGCAAAATTGCATTTTTAGTCCTGCATTTGTATTCTCAAGATTTTAACTTTTTTTTTTCTTGATCCTGTTATTTAGTAGTACTTTGTTGTAATTTCAGTCCTTTTAAAATGACTGGACCTAAATTGCTAATAAAAAATGCATCTCAGAGATTTTTTTTTATTAGCAATTTAAGTCCTATAATTTAAAATTTAATTGCAATTTTAGTCCTGAAAGGACAGAAATTGCGTTGAATTTTTCAATGATGGGACCAAATAACAAAATGCTCAAATCTTAGTATTAAAACAGCATTGAATCAAATCAATAGAACTAAAATGACAATTTTGCTTTTATTTTTCCCCTAGTAATTATTGTAAAGATGTGTGATTGTATATGACTTCAATAGTAAAAAATTCAATTCAAACTCAAATTTAACTCAACTTTAATTCAACCCTATTATCATCAATATTATCAAAATAATTAAATAATATCAACCAATCATTCTTACGCATCACATCAACTTTAATTCACTATTTATCCACTCACATAATTCTATCTAACTATCACTTCCAATCATTTTTCTTTTATTTTACATCAAATAAACTTTAATTATTTTATTTAATATTATTTTAATATATCCGCTAACAACTAAACATACCATCATTTTTCAAAATTAACTATAGTTAAAAAAATAAACCAAATAAAAACTAATTCAATCCATAAACAATCACCCCTAAGCTACTTTGACCTAATTTGCTAACATGGAGAATGATCCAAATTATAATGTATAAATTAATTTTAAAATTACTGTGATTTGAAAATTAGATGTACTTATTAGTAAAGTAATAAGTTGTCAAATTAATGCAATATTTATATATTATAAACATACACTTATATTAAATATTATATTATTGAGAAATGCTACGGTCCCGTTACGGAATCATTCCATCAGAAATTGTAACCGTTAGATCATCATATAACTGTCGGAAAAAGTTGGTCCAACAGTTATAAAATCCGACGAAATGGTTCAGTAACGGGTCGTAGCATCTCCCTCTACATAGTTATGAGGTCCGAGCCGGATATAAGAGGTAAAAGAAAGATCCTGAAATCTTGTTATTCAGTGGAATTATGAAAAGTAAAAAAGGATAATAAATTAGGGTTTTTTTATTTTAAATTATATTATAAGGTGAGACTTGAGAGTGACAAGATTGATGGTGATGTGGGAGGGGGCAGTATATATAGTAAATTGGGGAAGCCCACGCAACAGCTCTGCGCAT